CAGGCGCGGCGGCGGCCCGGCCCAGCCCTGCGCGCCGCCATGTTGGCCTCCTCCTCCGCCTGCGCCTCCGCCTCCGCCTCCTCCGGCCCGCGGGGCCGCGCCTCCGCTCCCGGAAGCGGCCCGGGCCGCCCCAGGTTCGCCGAGGACGGGCGCGGGTGTTGGGTGGGGGGGCGGGGGGGGGGGGTTTTTTTTTTTTTTTTTAATTTAGACAGCAAAGGGAGGGGCCGCGCCGCGGAGCGTCTCTGGGGTGAAAGGGCCGCGCAGACACCCGGGCGCAGGCGAGGGAGGGTCCTTGGCCGTCGCCACCGCCCGCCTATTTCTCCCGCAACAGGTTCCCGCGGGAGCGGGACGGGTGGAGGCGAGGTGCCCTTCGCTGCGCGGAACGTCCCCGAAGTCCCCCGAGCCGTCCGTGCGACCCAGCCCCGACGGCGGTCCCCTCGCACCCCGAAGCTGCTCAGAGCCCCCGCTGGACTCCTCTCCCCGCCTCGCTCGCCCCCGCGCGCCCGAGACGCACCCCGTCCCGGGTGGGATTCATTCGGCCGCGGCTGCACTTCGCCGCCAGCCCGGCCTGAAACGCGCGCCGCAGTCCCAAAAGAAATGCGCCCCGAACCACGGAAATTGGCCCGTCGCGCTGCCTGAAATACACCCCAACGCCCACCTCAATTCATGCCCACACCGGGCACATCGGTCCACCGGGGCCGAAAATCACCCCCACGCAACCCGACCCAGATCCCTCCGGCTCTCCCTGAAACTACCCCAACCTTGCTGAAATGGATTCCCAGCCCTCGCTGAAGGTTCCTATCGTCACTGGCCACCTGCCCCTCACCAAACCCCACCGTATTCCACCAAACTCTTAACACTGAAATCCCCTGGGCGTCTGAAACGTATTTTTACGAACTCAGAATCCCAGCGCTAACGAAAACCTCCGAAAACCTCAGACTGCCTCACATGGCCAGCCACAGACTCATTCGAACTCCTTGGACCTGTGCTCCCCTCCTGATGCTGACCCACCTACTCACACTACTGTATCTCTTGGCTCAGGATTCTGTTTCTGCCTTTTGAAGGAGAACCCTGCGCCCTCTGTTTTTCTGCCCTTTACGGGAGGACCCCACAGCTGTTCGTTTCTCCCTTTAAGCACTCTTTCCTCTTCCCTTTGAGGCCTATTTGCCTTGCTTTCTCTTTCCACCTTTAACATTAGCCCCCAGGGGCTGCGTCTTTAGTTTCCTTGATTCCACTATCCAAGCCTTGGCCCTTGCTCCTTTCCCCCTTCAGTTTCCTTTAATTCATGCTTCTAGGTTCTTTCCCCGCCGTCTCCCAAGATCCTGATGTCTTTTCTTTACCTCACTACGTATTTGTTAACTCAGCTTATCTCCTAATGCCCTCACCCTCGTTTCTTCCAGAACCCTGAAGTCCACTAACCTTTCTCATCCCATCAAACCCCTCCCTGTGACAACCCAGCACTTACTGAAATCTCCACCTGTCCCAAACCTTAAATTAGGGTCGGTACCCAGAAAATTCTCTGCACTCTGTTAGCACCTCTTCCCCTGGACCACAGAAACCTTCTTGCCTATTACTTGCTACCTATGTTTTTAAACACCAACAATTTGATTTCCAGGGTGAGTTCATCGCTGTTTACATTTAAATGAACTGACTGCATTTGTTGTACTGATTAAAGGTTGTATTATGGGACAAAGGCTAGGCCTTATCCCCAAAGGAAGTAAAGTCAATTTGTGAATGGAAATAAAACAAATCCTTCTTCTTACATTTCTTAAACAGTAACAACAACAACAACAACAACAACAACAACAACAACAAAAGAACCTACCAGGGAAGAATGCCTGGAACTGAATCAGGTTCCAGGGTATATATTGAAATAAAATTTTACTAAGTGGCATTAACTTTCAAGTACCTCAATGGTGCTTAAATATTTATGTGTGGTATATGAGGACCAAAAGTAACGTAAACGAAACCAAGTAACCGATCATGAAGCATATGCCAAGATACTTTATTTATTCAACAAATATGTGCTATTTATCAGGCACCAGGTACTGTTCTTGGCACTGGTGATGCAGGGCTAAACAAAGCTGACAAAATTTGATGATGGAAAAGTGATGGCATTCATTTTCGCCCGGGGTCTGCCGAGTTAATTCGGTGACCAAATTAAGAAACGGATTACGAGGGGGGAATAAGTAACAGGTAAAGGGAAAAATTGTTTGCCACTGAGATTTGAGACAGAACCCAAGAGGTAATGAGACTGAGCCGGCCAATTCAGATGGCACATAAAAAGACTCATCAACAGTGGCAGGTTTATAGAACATGACAGAGGGAGCTGTGCCGAGCTGAGAAGAGGAAGCAGAGAAGGAAGCAGAGAAAAACAAAGTCTGTGATAAAAACTGGAAAGGAGCCACAAAAGGCTACAAAAAACAAGGAAGGCCATTTTTGAACCGGATCCTGGAGTGGCTGAAAAGCCAGAATGTCATTTGAGGATGCAAATAGTTGTAATCACACTTTTTTTGCATGTAAGAAAGCAAGTGAGGCCTTAAACCCTATCGAATTGGGATAATAAGGGAGGGGCCCGTGGTGTGAGTAGTCATGCTTTCACTCACATTTTAATTTTTATTGCAGTAAAATCTTGAAAATGTTACAAGGACTAAGAAATTTTAAATAACATTCAGTTCACATTTATCCTTCTCTAGAATCTTCTAGAAGAAAAAAAAATAGCCAGGTCTTGAAGAGAGGTATGATGAACTGTGTGGAAGACAAAATATGAGGGCTTTCTGATATTAACAGGTAATTTTAAAAATATTTAGTGAGGGGGGCGCCTGGGTGGCGCAGTCGGTTAAGCGTCCGACTTCAGCCAGGTCACGATCTCGCGGTCCGTGGGTTCGAGCCCGGCGTCGGGCTCTGGGCTGATGGCTCAGAGCCTGGAGCCTGTTTCCGATTCTGTGTCTCCCTCTCTCTCTGCCCCTCCCCCGTTCATGCTCTGTCTCTCTCTGTCCCAAAAATAAATAAAAGTTGAAAAAAAATTTAAAAAAAAATAAAATAAAATAAAATAAAAAAAAAAATATTTAGTGAGGGTTTATTTTGAACCAGGCTGAGGCCTAGAGAGACAACTCTCGGTGTCTAGGGAGCAAGACTAGAGACAAAAAGACTAGAGAACAGGACACAGTTCCTGCCCTTTTAGAACTTGCTGTCTTTAAAGGGAGACAGACAATAAAGGAGTAATCATAAAGAGCGATAGGTGCTTTGATAGGGAATTTCAAGATGTAAGGGGCAAATTGCTTGCCATCTATGGGGGTAAAAGTACCGAGCGTAGGAAATCTGGAAAATTTTCCGGAGGGTATTTAAACTATAATCTGCCAGGAAGTAGGAAAGCCAGGAAAATGAATATGAGATGAAAAGAGAGCGATCCAAAGACTACAACAGTATGTGCAAAGGCCCTGGAGTGAGCAAGGGGAAAGCAACTGAGAAGAATTAAAAGCCAGCGGACTATGGCTGGAGTTCTAGAGAGGTAATAGTGGGAAGGGAATCTGGGAATGTGGCCAAACACCAGATCTGAGAGGACTACTTAAACTTGATAAGGAGTTTGCACTTCATTCTAAGGGAATGGGAAGCCACTTAAATATTGATGTGAAGGAGAGAGGTGCTGTTATTTAAATTTTAGGAAGAGTGCTGTGTGACGGATGATCTAAAAGGGAGAAAGGGTAAAGGTAGAGACTTGAGTTGATTGATTAACTTGGTTGCTGATTAATCGGCAAGCCCATTAAAGGGAAAAGCAGTGCCAGATGACGGGCTTACCTCTCTGTACTTCCTGTCTCTTTGCGATTTGGCCCTTCAAGTTCTCCCTTGGAAGCTTTCCGTGCCTTCAAGCAGATATTCTATTCTTCCCAGCTCGTCTAGTTGGTGTCAGTAAGAGGGATGATCTTAAATAAGCAAATCTGTCATAACTGGAAGCAGAAATCCCATAGAAGAGAAGAAGATGGAGAAAATGACCTTGACAGAGGGAGATTTTCCAAGACTAGGAGGAAGTTAGTATTTTGGATATTCGATGAGGAGGAAGAGCCTTGCCTTGCTAGCTTACAGTGCCCCAGGAAGTAGAAAGAGCTCAAAGAGAAATGACGGCCTGAGTCCAAGATTTGCAGCCTCTACAAAATCCCCCAGTCTCTAGCAGGGCAGGGAATCAACAGAATCACCTTCTTTCAAAAGACCTTAGCCTATGCAGGCTTAGATTGTGATCCCTTCCATGTTAATGAGTATAGACCATAGGCCAGAGGACTCCTTCCGATGATGCTGTAGATGCACAAGCCTGTACAATTTGCATAAATCCCCCCTGCAGTAGGAGAGGGAACCCTAATTATGACTATTATTCAACGTCTCAATACACTGGCAAGGGGGCATTGAGTGAGCTTTAATTTGTTTCTGAAAAAATAAAATGACATTAAAAATTTTTTTAAATATTTATTTTGAGAGAGAGAGGGGCAGAGAAAGAGAGGGAGATACAGAATCCGAAGCAGGCTCTGAGCTGTCAGCGCAGAGCCCAACACAGGGCATGAACCCAAGAACTGTGAGATCATGACCTGAGCTAAATTCAGATGCTTAACAGACTGAGCCACCCAGGTGCCCCAATTTTTTTTTTTAATATTTACTTATTTTTGACAGAGAGAGAGAGAGAGAGAGAGAGAGAGAGAGACAGAGAGAGCATGAGCAGGGAGGGACAGAGAGAAGAGGGACACACAGAATCCGAAGCAGGCTCCAAGCTCTGAGCTGTCAGCACAGAGCCTGAGGCAGGGCTCAAACTCACAGACTGCGAGATCCATAACCTGAGCCAAAGTCAGATGCTTAACCAACTGAGCCACCCAGGTGCCCCTAAAATGACATTTAATGTCCCACATTTTGATGGAAGCAAATTCATCCCCATTGTATATGTTTAAAAACCAATGAAAACAGCCACCAGAAAAATTGGCATTAATGGCTACACCATGAATACTCTACTTGGGCATGGACTTTTTTCTTTTCTTTCTTTTTTTAATATGTAACAGCTTTCTCGAGAGGTAATTCACATGCCATACAGTTCACCCATTTAAAGTGTACACGTCAATTTTAGAACAGTTTTCATTACCTAAGAAGGAAACCTCATACCCTTTAGTCATATCTCTTCTGTATTCTCATTCCCCCCAGTGCTAAGCAACCACTAATCTACTTTCTGTCTGTATGGGTTTGCCTGTTCTAGAAACTTCATGTATATGGAATCTTACAACATGTGATCTTTTTTGTCTGGCTTCTTTTACTTAGTACACTGTTTTCAACCTTTATCCATGTTCTATAGCACGTGTCAGTATTTCATTCCATATTCTGGCTGAGTAATATTTCATTATAGATATATCATATTTTGTTTATCCATTCATAATGGGCATTTGAGTTGTTTTTACTATTTGGGTATTATGAATGCTGCTGCTATCACTGTTTATATGAATGTTCTTGTGTGGACATGTTTTCATTGCTTCTTGGTCATGTGGTTTTTGTTTTTTAATTTTTTTAATCTTTATTTTTGAGAGAGAGAGAGAGAGAGACAGGGTGCGAGCAGGGAGGAACAGAGAGAAAGAGGGAGACACAGAATTCAAAGCAGGCTCCAGGCTCCGAACTGTCAGCACAGAGCCTGACATGGTGCTTGAACCCATGAACTGCGAGATCATGACCGGAGCTGAAGTCAGATGCTCAACCAACTGAGCCACCCAGGCATCCCGCTTCTTGGTCATTTGTATATCTTCTATTCAAGTCCTCTGCCTTTTTGTTGAATTGGGTTATTCATCTTTTTATTATTATGTTGTAAGACTTTTGTATTCTAGATCCAAGTTCTTTACTAGGTATATTATTTGTAACTATTTTCTAATATTCTGTGGCTTATCTTTTCACTTTTTTGCTAGTGTCCTTTGAAGCACATAAGCTCTTAGATTTGATGAAGTACAATCTATTTATTTTCTTTATTGCTTGTACTTTTGTTGCTTGTACTTTTGGTGGCATATCCACGAAATCGCTGCCAAATTTCCTATCATAAAATGTTTTTGCCTGTGTTTTCTCCTGAGAGTTTTATAGTAGATCTTTGATCATTTTGAGTTCATTTTCGTATATGGTGTGAAGTAAAGGTCTAATTCTATTCATTTGTATTTGGCTATCTAATTGTCCCAATATTATTTATCGAAAAGATTATTCTTTCCCCATTGAATGGTCTTGCACACTTGTCAAACATCAATTAAACATGGACACATAGGTTATTTCTGGAATCTCAATTCTATCCTATTGATCTATATGTCAATCTTTATGCCTATAGCACATTGTCTTAATTACAGTTTCTTTGTGGTCAATTTTTTAGTTTTTATTTTTTAGAGGAGAGGGGAGGGGCAGACCCTGGGATCCTGACCTGAGCCAAATTCAAGAGTCCAACCAACTGAGCCACCCAGGCGCCCCTAACTTTGCTCTTTTTCATGATTATTTTGGCCATTCTGAGTTCCTGGCAATTATATGTGAATTTCAGAATCAGTTTTCCAACTTCTATAAGGAAGTCAGCTGGGATTCTCATAGGGATTCCACTGAGTCGGTAAGCAGATTTGGGGACTGTTACCATCTTGGCAATATTAAGTCCTCCAACCCATGAACATGTTACTTTTTTCATTTCTTTTAGTAGGTGTTTTGTGCTCTTCAGAGTACGTCTTGTACTTCTTTTGCTCAATTTATTCCTACTTTACTCTTTCGGATGCTACGGCACATGGAGTTGTTTTCGTAATTTGGATTGTTTGATTGCAAATGTATAGAAATACAGTTGCATTTTATAAATTAATCTTCTAACCTACAACCTTGCCCAACTTGTTTATTAATTCTAATAGTTTTTTTTTAGTGGATTTCTTAGGTCATGTTATCTGTGAATAAAGATAGTTTTGCTTCTTTCTTTCCAATCTGGATGCCTTTTGTTTATTTTCTTGTCTAATTGCCCTGGCCAGGACCTCCAGTACAGTGTTGAACAGAGATGCAGATAGCAGTCATGGTTGTTTCGTTCCTGATCTTAGGAGGAAAGCATCTAATCCTTCCGTTAACAATGACGTTTGCTTTGGGGTTTTCATATATGGCTTTTATTATTTTGAGATAGTTTTCTCCTATTCCTATTAAGAATGACCAATGTGGTTTATGTTTTTTATTCTACTGATATTGTGTATTGCATTCATTGATTTTTCATATGTAAAACCAATCTTGCATTCTGGGATAAATCCCACTTGGTCATGGTGCACAATACTTCATATATGTTACTGGATTCAATCTGCTAATACTGCTAATACTGTATTTTGTTTAAAAATGTTGCTGGGGGAAAGAGAGCGATTGCTTTTATTTTTATTTTTTTTAACCATGAAAATAGAGTGACCTATTAACTAAAATGATACAAAAATAATGCAGACCCAATTTTGTATTTTATAAAAGCAGATTTAAAAAGGATGAAATACTGTTTTTGCAATCAAATGCCTTCATGTAAAACTCACATAGATAGCTTCCCCCCCCAGAATTATCTCAAGATATAGTCTAAGACTCGCAAACCTTTTGATACTATTATTATTATTTTATTTTAAATTTTTATCTTAATCCCGATTAGTTAACAAAGAGTGTTCTATTAGTTCCAGGTGTGCGATGTGGTGATTCAACACTTCCGTACATTGCGCGGTGTTCATCATGACAAGTACACTCCTTAGGGGAGGGGATGGGTTAAATAGGTGATGGGGATTAAGGAAAGCAACTACTTTTAGAGGGATGCGATTCTGATTATTTAATGTAAAAAAAAAAATCAGTATGAAAAATGGAGAACGCTAGAAGAAGGAAGAGGAAAACATAATTTTTAAGTCCAAGGTTCCTCCCACCCTTTACTAAAGACTGTATGTTGCCAAATGGGGAGTCATTTAAAAGTTAATGTGGTATTTTCCTTCCCTTAGGAAGATGATGTGACAGGCCTGATGGTAGTCCAACATTAGATTTTGTTGTTTTTTTTTTACCAGCAGCCGGAGTGAATTTTCCCTGGCGCCCTGTGACTAATGGGCAGAACTATCCCCTGGGCGTGCAGATTCCTTCCCTTCCTTCCACTTTGGAAGGCCTTTCCCTTGTAGCAGGTGAGTTACAAATCCAACCATCCACAGCATAAATATATGCTATTAGATTGTCAAGTGGAGAGGAGGCACGCGAGGTAAGGCCAAGGTGTTGACTGCCAAACCGAGGAGTTTTCTTTAATTTGTTAGGCGGTGGGCAGCCATTCAATGTTTTGAGTCAGGGAATGATGTGGTTGAATGTGCTTTCTGGAGATTAAAATGGTATTAATGTGTCGGACACAAGCGATTAAATAAGCAGGTGTGGTGGGCGGGGGGGAGAATGAAAAGAAGCATATGCAGAAGTAGAGTAGATTCTTCAGGACTTGGCGATTGGATTTGACGATCCAGGAAAAGGAAAAACGTCTAGACTTGAAGGCTAGGTAATCTGAAGTCAGAGTTTGAACCAAAAGGGAAGACGACGACTTTGGCCTTACATGAGCTGACATTTCACTAGGAAAGTTTGCGTGCAGACTTCCCCAATCATATCACGCGTGTACATTGGAAACAAAACAGTTTAAGCGGATAAACATTTACAAGGAAAGGATACTGGGGATATTTAATCTGGAAAGTGACACGACTTTACAAAAAGAGAAAGATGAAAGGACCCGTTTATTTCTCTGATGACCTAGTGCCTGGCCTTTAACTCCACACACTCACCTACACATGGCACTATGTGCCCGCTGAAGAAAGCAACAAGCATTTTAGGAGAAGCACACACGCCCATCTTTACCCACTGCTCTCCATTTTCATCTCCTTGCTCCTGGGTAGCTGGTTCCGGATCTCGTTTCACAAACTGAGCCCTGTACACGGAGGGCCAGGAGAGACCGACGCAAGAGGCAGACCACTCCATCACTCCATGTTAGTAGGTGGCAGTTTTAATAGGCAGGCAAACTTACTTAAATGAGGCTGGTCTTGGGTGGCCGTAAGACAAATGCATCTCTGCGCCTGCCTGCTAAATCTTAAAAGTCTATGTAGAGGCATTAACAGGGTTCAGTAATGTACACTGTTCAGATGGTCTCAGTACCACATTGTTATCTCAAGGCTCTGATGGGATAGCTTCTAGCATGGCGAAGGCAAATGAAATGCCCATTCTAAGGACAGGGAAGGTGGGTGAGAGGCCTCTGATGGCCCAAGTTCAGCTTGGGTCAACTGGCAGTCACGTCTTCTTGACGACCTTCACGGCACCATATTCGAGCCTTCCATATTGCTTTTAATCTGCTTGTTGCCTCCTGTCTACAGTAACATGTGACTTCCCTCCCTGCCTATTGGGTACCTCTTTCCCTGGGCTCGGATTTCAGCAATCTCAGTTTCCAGGAAAAGATTTCCTCTGCTAGTCTGGCCCTCAGAACCCTCCTGCTCAGGCTGACCTCAGGGTCTCTGCCAGAAGGTAGAGATTTGGACACTTTGTCTTCATTGTATCAGCAGGTTTCATTTCTCCAAAGTTGCATTTTATGTCATAGATTGTATGACTAGATTGTAACAGGCTGCAATTCTCCGACTGACTGAAAATTGCAATAAGGGATATATTTACCTTAATAGCAACGTTGAAACTCAGTTGTCGAGAATACAGTGAAGGACTCCTCTATCTTTAGCTAGAAAATCAAGATTTGAGGCTTTTAGTTCCCTCTGAAACCAGGAGGACCCGGCTCTCAGACTTCAGCTGGATTCCAACACGATTTAGAGGTCTGTTTCATTTCCCCAATGTTGACTCACCAGGCTGGATTAATTTTCCAGGGTGTTGTGCTAATTATAGGCCAGTGGAGCTAATGGGCTGAATGAAAATGGCTACAAGTGAAAAAGTAGCAGAGCACTCTGGGTTCTGCTAGGATGCGGAGCTATTTATAACTTCACAATTGCATGGTTACTATTAATTAGTGAGTATTGCAGTGACCCTCAATTTTCAAAGGCGTCTCCCATCATTTTCGAGTTAATCTCTCCCATCCCTCACTGCGTTTGTTTTATATAAAGGGTGGAGCTGACGAATCACTCGCCTGAAGTCATGTCTGTGGGAAAGCCAGGATTAATACTTTAAACGTTAGGAATAGCAATAAAAATAATATATTCGTGGAGTGCTTTGCAGTTTTCGAAAGGTTTTCTCTTTGGCATCTCATTGACACTTACCAGCATCCCTAGGAACACTACGGGTTCCTGTTGGTTAGTTGATGGTCACAGAAGAGAAGAGGGTTTGGTTCACACCTGTCTTGATCACATTTCAACTGAATAAGAACGGAAAGAACCCAATGCTTTTCAGGACCCGGAGTCTGAATCGTGACGATCTTTGCTCTCTGCCTCTTGCTGAAGGGTTTTCTTGGCCTTTGAGGACCCACGAGGGAAAATTGTGTCATTTTAGCCTTTTGTTTTATGAGGCCCCATAAAACAATATACAAACCCATAGAGTCCAGTACTATTAGAAATTTCAGTTTAAGAGGGGTGAGAAAATCCAGAGATTGCTATGCTAGAACGTTGGCATAAGATCCCCCTCCCAAAATGGAGCTGGTTCTGGTGACGGCTGTGAGCCTTCATTGCATTTCCCTGTTTCAGCTCACTTCTCCCCACTCAACCGCCTGGGCCGTTCTTGACCTTCCTAGGCCCAGAGTGTCCACTGCCCCCTGCATTCAATCCTCTCAGAACCTTTTTTTTTTTTTTTTTAACGTTTATTTATTTTTGGGACAGAGAGAGACAGAGCATGAACGGGGGAGGGGCAGAGAGAGAGGAAGACACAGAATCGGAAACAGGCTCCAGGCTCTGAGCCATCCATCAGCCCAGAGCCTGACGCGGGGCTCGAACTCACGGACCGCGAGATCGTGACCTGGCTGAAGTCGGACGCTTAACCGACTGCGCCACCCAGGCGCCCCTCTCAGAACCTTTTATAATCCCACGAGCAGAGGCCTGCGTAATTGGATGGGTTCTTGGATGTCGTGCAGTCTATTATCATCACCTTACTGGTGACCGAAACGGAGACTCAGGGAAAGCAAGTGACTTTCCAAGGCTCATGGCTGGTAATCATCAGAACAGGGGATGAAAAGCTGCTGGACTTCTGCTTCAGTAGAAAAAGGACTGGATGACCGTCAGGTTGTCCCCGAAGCAGTGTTTGTGACAGCACAACTCCTGAATTGGCCACAGAGGCCGCGGTTCCCAAAACGTGTTCACAGATGCTTCTTGACGTAGGGCCCTGTGGTCATGTGACTTTGCCCAAGCTGGGAATTCAAGAGGCAACATAGAAGACTGGAGACTCTGGAAAGTCCCTTGGGAAAGAGTTTTGTTTAAGCAAGCCTTTATCAAATTATTTAGTCATTTTTTTCAACTCAGAGAAAACCTAGTAACAGCCTGTGTAATTAGAGTCCCTTGGCACACACTGAAGAACAAATAAAAGGTACCTGTTGAGATGGCACAGTCACAAGCCGGGTGAAAGCTCACTGGCAGTTTCTTCGCTACGTGCTACTTTAATTTCACCACACCTGAGGTGTAGACGTTATTAGCTCTACTCACGGATGAGCTCCAGACTCTGGTTGCATGGGACAGATTTGAATGCAAATTTGCTTTGGTGAAGAGGGGCGTCTTTTGCTTCATGCCACTGAGAAGCTTGGAGCCTTGAAACCAGCAAGTTCTCTTTCTCGTACCTCTGCTTCCGTCTGTTTGCCGGGTCTGTTCATTCCTTTTACAGACTGATGTCCTTGCGAGAAAGGACACAGGCCTATGCACAGCTTAGGTCTATGTGCAGCCAGAGAGGAAAGGATCCCACGGCCCCCTGCCCGCCCAGCCAGTGCCACTTAGCAAAATCTTAGAAAGGAACTCAATTGGCCAGTGGGGGTCACGTGCCCCTCTGCTGTCCATCTCCATAGCTGGGAAAGGGGTATTACGGTGGGTTTTGCTGTCTGACTCCAAAATCTGTGTGTGTGTGTGTGTGTGTGTGTGTGTGTGTGTGTGTGTGTGTAACTTGTTTCAATAAGATACAATCTCCACTCCTAAGGAAGGAATAGTCTGGTAGGAAAGATACACACCCCTATAGTAACAATGGTAAAAGGTGTAAGAAACAGAGACATTCAGAAGATGGAGAGACCATGTCAAGATTATATCATAATCTCCAGCCTAAAGTTCCTAAGTCTTTGGGCATTATGGGCACTTTTGAAGATCTGATGAACCCCTTGAACTCTTTTTCCCCAACACACACACACACACACACGCACACACACAGATTTTTGTATCCATTTTTAACATGCCTTTGAAAGATTTATGGACTTCTACAAGCTGATCCTTGGTTCTCCAAGGAACTTAAGACTTTGAGTTAATACTGCTTTGAAAATATACTTACGTAGAAGAACCAGTTCAAAAGACCCGCCCTTGCTGTAGAATGATGGTATTGCCAGCAGTGAGCTGAGCAACCTCAGATCTGGCTTTCAGTACTAGGAAGGCAGGCCCAGGAAACCCAAGTTAGATCCATGTAGAAACAGGAAACGCTCAGGAAATAATGTATTCCTTGGAACAAACTTTAGGACACGCCGATAAACAATGAAATGGTACTTGACCAAATGGGGCAATCGCAAGCAGGTGGGAGATATTCTTAAGAGTTACCACTGCTATTTTTAAAGTTTTTATTTGTATTTATTTTGAGAGAGATATAGAGCAAGCAGGGGAGGGGCAGGGAGAGAGGGACACAGAATCCCAAGCAGGCTCCGAGCTGTCAGCACAGAGCCCGATGTGGGGCTCAAACCCACGAACTGTGAGATCGTGACCTGAGCCGAAATGAAGAGTTGGACGTTTAACCACGTTGGACGTTTAACCAGAGTTGGATGATTGAGCCATGCAGGTGCCCCCCCCCACCTCTATTTTTAATATAAATAATAGAATCAGAACCATCTAGCTTGACATCATTTTAAAGTAAAAAGAAACATGGAAAGGGTAAAGAGATTTACTCAAGGACAGACAACCGAAGAATGTCTATGTGTGGCTTAACCAAGCAAGGCTTGGACTGATGCTCTTGTCCAACGCTCTCTTCGTTCTGTGGCACCACACAGAGGCAAGCGAATGAATTGTAAATAGTAGCCTTCAGGTATTGTGACACTCACCCCGTTTCATTATACCTCGTTTTTAACTGTTTTCTCTAGTAAACTGAAGACTCTATGGGAGCAGGACCTCCGTCTGCTCCTTTGCTACATTCCCAGGACGTCATGGACAGTGGACACTCAGTACACGTCCCTCCTCTGAATGACTGGAGAACGGCTGCCTGGCAGGAATTCCACTCCTCCAGTGGGCATGAATGCATCCAACCATGTTTAAGTATCTCCCGGTGTGGCGGCTGTCACCCCACCCTCGCTTTTCTCCCTTGGAACTTTGTGCAATTTCCCAGTGCTCCTGACTCATGTCAGGGAGGCCTCCACCTTCCATACATTTGGAAGGGCCCAGGGACTTCTAACCACTGGGTGACTGGCTGATTGAGCCCCGGAAGCCCCGTAGTCTCCCATGTTTCCTTCTCGGTTCTCATTGGGAGAATTCCAGGCCCCTGGGAAACAGAGGCCTCTGGTGTGCCTAGGAGAGGACCAGCCACCCCATAGCAAGCAGTTCTTCCTCCTCAGTAGCTACCACCACCCAGCCCCAAGGGAGTTAAACCTGTTCTTTATCTCCTTGAAACCCAGGCCAACTTTGATAAAAGGAAAAATCTTTCCTGGCGTTTGTTAATCAAAACAAATGTCCTTACTCGCTCGGTAGAATGTAGGCGTGGATGCTATGCTACGTCTATCAATAGGTAGTTTGTGTCTAATTTGTCCAAAGGAAATGTCTGTGATGTGCTTTTATTAAAAAATTTGTTTAATGTTTATTTCTTTTTGAGAGAGAGAGAGAGAGTGTGAGTGTCGGAAGGGCAGAGAGCGAGGGAGACACAGAATCTGAAGCAGGGTCCAGGCTCTGAGCGGTCAGCACAGAGCCCAACGCGGGGTTCAAACTCACAGACCACGAGATCATGACCTGAGCTGAAGTCAGACGCTTAACCGACTGAGCCACCCAGATGCCCCTGATGTGCTTTTAATTTACTGAAGAGGGCTAAGTGTTCAAACCTTTGCAAACTTACACTGAAATTAAGTTTTTAAGGTCCACATAGCTGCAGCTCTCTCAAATCATCCTTTAAGACACACTTCCTTGGGGCACCTCAGTGGCTCAGTCAGTTAAGCATCCAGCTCTTGATTTCGGCTCAGGTCACCATCTCACAGTCATGGGATTGAGCCCCATGCCCAGCATGAAGCCTGCTTAAGACTCTCTCTCCCCCTCTCCCCCTACCATGCTGACATGCACGCACGCACACATAGTATCTCTCTTTCAAATGAAAACAAAAAACCCCACCCTTCCTTTAAAGTGTGACTAGCCATGATAAATTATACATTTTTATAAATGTCATCTCTCCTAGTGTTGTGAAACTTAAAGAAGATGAAAACCACCCAAGACTATCCCTGTTGTATCAGTTGCCTTTAATTCCTATACGGGCTGGTGATAGTTTTGCCTATAAGTAGCAGAAAACTTAACATAAGCACCTAAAGGAATAAGTGCTTTCTCCCTTATACAACACCAGGTCTGATGGAATATGCAGGTTTGGTTTTAGTCTGGGAGTCCAGTGAACCCACAGCCAGTGGCTCTTCAATTCTCTTGGCCTTTTCCTCAGGCATATTGCCTCATGGTTCCAAAATGGCTGCTGCAGCTCCAGACATCATATTCATATCTGAGATAGGTAGGAAGGGTAAAACACTCATGTAGTCATTATACTAGAAGAGCAAAAAGCTTTTCCAGACCACTATCCGCCCCCCAGCAGTGTCATGTCTCACTGGCCACTCAACCTCACTGCAAGTTGGGAAAATGAATGCTTAACTTTTCCAGACTTCCTAGTTGAAGTAGACAGGGGGATCCCATCTGGGACATATATGGGTCTATTAAGCTGCACCGTGGGGTGCGGGAGTTGGCTCCTAGGTGTCATGAGAGCCAATTTCTAAATTTTTAGGAACGTTTTGAGCCAGCTGATCCATACAGTCGTTAAAGTTGAATTATATGAACTTCTTTTATTTTTATTTTTATTTTTTTAACATTTATTTATTTTTGAGACAGAGAGAGACAGAGCATGAATGGGGGAGGGTCAGAGAGAGAGGGAGACACAGAATCCGAAACAGGCTCCAGGCTCTGAGCGGTCAGCACAGAGCCTGACGTGGGGCTTGAACTCACGGATGGGACCGTGAGATCATGACCTGAGTCGAAGTCGGATGCTCAACCGACTGAACCACCCAGGTGCCCCGAATTATATGAACTTCTAATTCAATAAATTTTATTGAAAAAGGCAATACTCAAAGAAAAAAAAAGCCCCCACCACTTCCTAATATGTTACTACTAACTATGCTTTTTGATGTCGCATGTGCTGTGTCTGTATGGTGTTTAACAAAGGTACTACTATGCATTTCTTCCCATCTCTGTGTTTAGTGACAGCATGTTGGTAGCTCTGAATTGGCCATGGTGGGAGTATTTGCACCACAGATCCCAGCAAATGTTACAACTCTGTTTTGTTTTTGCTTTGAAGGAGTCCACTGTTGGACATTTATCGGTACACCATTATGCACAGTCCTAGAAAACGATAATTTGGAGATTGGATGTATGTACATTTGAGGTAAATAGGTAGGCATTTCAAAACAATTTTCAGAGCCCTGCCAGAGATAAAACACTCAGAAATAGTGCCCTGGTGATTTATTTTTTTTTAATCTATTTTTTTCCTGGTGTTTTAAACCAACAAAGAATGCATTCTATAGATTGCTTTAAAAATTTTTTTTAATGTTTATTTATTTTTAAGAGAGAGAGAGAGACAGAGCACAAGCAGGGGAGGGGCAGAGAGAGAGGGAGACACAGAATGTGAAGCAGGCTCCAGGCTCTGAGCTGTCAGCACAGAACCCGACGCAGGGCTGCAACTGACAAACCGCGAGATCATGACCTGAGCCGAAGTCAGATGCTTAACTGACTGAGCCACTCAGGCTTCAACAGATCACTTACTTTTTTCAGGAATGCAAAGTGTCTTTTCTTCAGCTCCTAGTACTTAAGAGTCTTCCTCAAACAATACTGTTTTTCTTCATGGTCACTATCATCATTAATAAACATCCACTGCTTACCTATTATGGGTTAGATTCTAAGTTTGACTAAGCACTATTGAATATGGTCTTTATTCTCAAGGAACTTAGACTACACCGGAATATGTGCAGAAAAAAAATAAATGAAAGTAGTCTATTCCAAACATCCCATACTTTGTCTTCACAGCATGTATCTTGATTTGTAGCTCTCTCTCTCTCTTTACAGTGTATATGCACACACATATACATATACACACAAACATAATGTGTACACATATATGCTTGTGTGAACCTTTATTTAATGCTAGACTATAAATTCCATTGCATCCCTTTTGGTCACAGCTGTGTCCCAGTATCTACAAAGTGCCTGGAAGATAGAAAGCGCTCAATGAATGTTTACTGACTGCATAAGTGAATTAATTAAGTGCAATGAGTAGCATGGACAATAAGATCTGTACGAGCTGACAGGAAGGAACAATTCCCAGCTGACTGGAATGGTTAGGAAAGCTTGAGGTGGTTCCAAGATTTGAATGACATCTTGAGGGCAGGGTAGGGCATAAACAAGGTACATGGCACGTTGAACACAAGGACTTGTATGGCCGGAATGGAAAGTTTCTTTCTTCTTGCTGAAGTTGGAGCAAACTCATTGGAGCTGGTGGGTTAGGGTCACCAGGGTTATATTCAATCAGATTGTAGTGTTCCTTGGACCCAGGGAAGGCAAACATAATTTCAGAAGCAAATGCAGATTAAGGTTGAGGGAGAAGCTCAAGGTTGAGAGAAAATAACAACATTTAACTAGTTTACTAACTGCCAGTCATGCCCTTCTATCCATTCTCCACCAAGAAACCAGAGCAATCTTTTAAAAGTATAAATCAACCAATATCTCTCAGGAACTTAGGTGTAAAAATACCCGACAAGATGTTAGCATAGTGAATCTGGCAATATGCAAAAGATTTTTTTAATTAAGTTTTATTTTTATTTTAGAGACAGAGCATGAGTTGGGAGGAGGGGCAGAGAGAGAGGGAGAGAGAGAATCTTAAGCAGACTCCACACCCAGCATGGAGCTCAATGTGGGGCTCAATCTCATGACCCTGGGATCATGACCTGAGAGAAAATCAAGAGTCTGATGCTCAACTGAGCCACCCGGGTGCCTCAATGTGCAACAAAATTATATACTACAACCAAAAAGGTTGTTTATTCCAGGTATGCAAGACTGGTTTGTATTTGAAGATCAATCAATGCAACCCATCATATTAACAGGCTAAAGAAGAAAATCCACACGATCATATCAATAGATGCAGAAAAGGCATTTGACAAAAATTCAATACCCATTCATGAAAACTTTCAAGAAATAGAAATGGAAGGAAACTTCTCAACCTGATAAAGAGCACCTACAAAAGAAATTCTACCAGCAACATTATACTTAATGGTGAAAAACTAAATGCTTTCTCCCTGAGATTAGGAAAAAGGTAAGAATGCTCACTCTTACCACTTTCAGCATAGTACTAGAAATCCTCGCCAGCACAATAAGGCAGGAAAAAGAAAGAAAAGACATACAGATTGGAAAGGAAGAAATAAAATTGTCTTGATTTGCAGACAACATGATTGTCTATCATGTAGACAAACCCAAGGAATCAATGGGGAGTGGGGAAAAAGCCCACAAAACCTCCAAAGGAAACAAAACAAATCTCAGAACAAATAAGTTCAGCACGGCATCAGATTACAAAAATGAACACACATAAAATTCTATACACCAACAAGGAAGATGTGGAAGTTGAAATGAAAACCACAATACTATTTACAACAGCCCCTCAGCAAATGAAATACTTATTTATATCTAAATATAAATCTAACAAAGCATGTACAGGATCTGTATGCTAAACGTGATAAGATATAGATGAAAGAAATCAAAGAAGGTAAGTTTCCTTTATTATTCATTTACTGAAACTCAACATGGTGAAGATGTTAGTTCTCCTCCAATTGATCTACAGGCTTACTGAAATTCCTGTCAAAGGCCTAGCAAGAGTTTTTACAGATTAGAGAAGCTTATTTTAAAATTTATTTGTCAAGGCAAAGGACCTAGAACAGCTAAAACTGTCTAGAAAGGAGGAGTAACTTGGGAGGAATCACTCCCAAGTTAAGTTTACTATATAGCTGCAGTAATCAGGACAGTATGGCACTGGCAGACGGACACACAGATCAATGGCATAGAATAGAGGACCCAGAATTAGACCTAGACATACGCCCAGCTGACTTTTTACAAAGTTGCAAAAGCAATTCAATGAAGAAAGGATAGCTTTTGCAAAAACTGGTGCCAGTACAACTGGGCATACATAGGCAAAAAATAAATAGAATCAAATAAGGTAAGAAATAAAAATGTGACTTAATCTTCACAGAATTAGCTAAAACTAGGACCAAGATTTAAATGTAAACCTAAAACCACAAAGCTTTTAGGTAAAACATAGAAAATCTTCAAGATTTAGGATGAAGTAAAGATTGCTTAGATTTGACACCAATGGCACAATCCCAAAAAAAAGGAAAAAATGATGAACTGGATGTCATCAAAATTAAATATTTTTGCTCTGTGAAGACTTTGTTTAAAAGACGAAAAGATAAGGCGCACCTGGGTGGCTCATTCGATTAAGGGTACAACTTTGGCTAGGCCATGATCTCGCGGTTTATGGGTTTGAGCTCTGCGTCAGGCTCTGAGCTGACAGCTTGGAGCCTGGAGCCTGCTTCGGATTCTGTGTCTCCCTCTCTCTCTGCCCCTCCCCTGCTTGCACTCTGTTTCTCTCTTTATCTCTCGCTAAAAAATAAATATTAAAAAAAAAATTTTTTTTTTCTTAAAATTTTTTTAACGTTTTATTTATTTTTGAGACAGAGAGAGACAGAGCATGAACGGGGGAGGGCCAGAGAGAGAGGGAGACACAGAATGGGAAACAGGCCCCAGGCTCCGAGCTGTCAGCACAGAGCCCGACGCGGGGCTCGAACTCACGGACCGCGAGATCGTGACCTGGCTGAAGTCGGACGCTTAACCGACTGCGCCACCCAGGCGCCCCAATTAAAAAAAAAATTTTTTTAAGATGAAAATATAAGCCACAGATCAGAGAAAATATTCACAAATCACCTATCTGGCAAAGGGCTTCTCTCTAGAATATACAAAGATCACTCAAAATTCAACAGTAAAGTTCAAGAAACAATGCAATCAGAAAATGGGCAAAAAAACATGTTGAGACACTATTGAAACACAAAGGACAAGTAATGACAGAAAAAGGTGTTCAAAATCATTAGCCATTAGGTAAATGGAAACTAAATCCACAAATAATAAACTCACATACCATACAATGCAGAAATTGCACCCTTGGGCATTTATTCCAGAGAAATGAAAACTTATGCTCATGTGGAAGCCTGCACACAAATGGTCGTATCATTCATAATAGCTAAAACCTGGAAAGAACCCAGATGTCCTCCAATGGGTAGTACATACCTACCATAGAACATGACTCCATAGTAAGGAGGAATGAACTCTTGACATGGGCAACAAGTTGGATGATCTCAAGGGAATTATACCCTGTGCAAGAAGCAATTTCGAAAGATTACATACTGTACGATTCCACTTATGTAATATTCTTGAAATGTTGTAATTATAGAGATGGAAAACAGATTAGTGATTGCCAGGGTTAGTGCTTGTGGGGAGAGTGTAGGCATGGCTACAAGAGGGCCACACGGTGGGTCAGCTCTGAATCTTCATTGGGGAGGTGGTTGTGCAAAGCTCCGTGGTACAAAATTTTCTAGAACAATTGCCTATAGATACTCACACATGCACACACACACACACACACACACACACGAGCACACATCTACTGGAGAAATCTGAATAAGCTCTGTGGATTGTAGCAATGTCCATTTCATGGTACTGTGGTTCCATAAATGCTAACATTGGGGAAGGGGGGGTATAGGGTTCTCGAAACCTGTCTATACATTTTTTTGTGTAACTTCTTGTGGATCTATAATTATTTCAAAATGAAAAAGTAAAATACTTAAATCAGATCATGTCAGATTTCTTACTTAAAATTATTAGAAGGCTTACTATCCCAATGAAAAGAAAATCCAAGTTCCTTACCTTATGTCATCTGTTCCCTGCCTCTGTCTCTGACCCCATCTAACTTCATTTTATTTAAAAAAGTTTTTTGAGTTTTTATTTATTTATTTGAGGGAGAGAGAACGAGTGGACGAGGGGATGAGTGGAGGAGGGACAGAGAGTGAGGGGCAGACAGAGGACCTGAAGCGGGCTCTGTGGTGACAGCAGAGAGTCCAATGCGGGGCTTGAACGCATGAACCATGAGATCATGACTTGGGCCGTTATCAGGAGTCGGATGCTCAACCAACTGAGCCACCAGGCGCCGCTCCCTCCTCCCCCACTCTTTATCTTACTGATGAAGCCGAAGCCATGCAAGGGTTATGAGGTCAGGCAACCTTACCCCTCAGCTCCCGGTCAGTTCGGGACTGGGTTAGCCCATCCTTCTCCCACATCTGGAGCATAGGTGCATGCTAGATATTTTGCGGATGGAAGAGGGAAGAAGTAAAGGCTGTGATGAATCCCTGGATCATCTCTCTCATTGGGTTTGAGGAAAAGGCACAGAGGTAGGCCTGGGTGAGGGCACAGGACTCGGATAGAGAATCTGTATATGGAAGGTTAGAGACGTAGGGAAGAGGCAGCCAATGGGAAATCTCAAATGCTAAGCCAAGGCACTGGGGAGCTCTTCAAGGTGAAGTTGGGGATGCTTACACATTTTTTAACTCCACCTTCATCTGCTCATTTACCTAGGTGCTGTTTTCATTATTTGGGGGAGGCGTGAATCATTGCTTCCTCTAGGACTAAGCTTACTGCCGTACTCAACACAGATACAGTATCAGGCAATCCATCAGCCGTAATGGCGTCTGTGTGTTTACCACAACTCTCCTGTGTCAAAAATAATACAGGCACACCTAACATGCCTACTTGTCAGCTACCATAAGGTGCCATAGCAGAGTCAGAGGAAAGGAATAAAGATTAGGTGGAATGTGGACTATGCAAAAGTCGGAGGCATAGACTACACTCCAACTCCAGTGAAAAGAAGACCTTAAGAAAGACGAAGTGACGTCTCTCTTCTGAGCCACCACCACCAGCGTGGCCACCAAAGGACCATACTGACCCACTGTTACTCAACAAATACTCTCTTTTGATGGTTTCTCCATTTTTTCTCCGGGGGTACGAGAGAGAGAGAGACAGACAGACAGACAGACCTGAGGGGATACAAGAGTGAGAGCCTGCTGTATGGGAAAACCAGATACACTGCTTTGCAATTATTCCAGGACTCTGAAGAGCTGTCACAGGTCACTAACAGCTGAGTATCACTAGCTACCTTTTCTCCTTCCTTTCCTGTGGAAGAGACTCAAAGCCCCGGAGCAGCATGAAGGGAGGACACAGGTTTTTTACTTACTTCAGAATTTCACATACTGCCTGTTTATAGAAGCCAACTCGCTGAAAATTAACAGACCTTTCCTTGTTAATCAGTGTTGCTCGGTGTTTCAGGGGGAAAAAAAAAAATCTAAGTCAACCGACCTTCGGAAATGTCTTTTGGTCGGGAATTTAGCCACGTTGGTGAGAAACACGAGCCGCGCCCACCAGGAAGTGTTTCTGAGGCAGGTTGGGGGAGTTTGCTTTCAAAAGTCAGGAAGGTGCAAAAATGCGAGTTGAGTCCCTGCCTGACAGGTGCTTACACTTCGCCCGTGACTTTATGGTTGTGTGACCCCTGTTGTCGTTTAATGTTTCAACCGTCTAGCCCCTGCTCCCCTAATGAAAAGGGACAAGGGCAGGTGTGTCAGTCAGGGTCCTGTGGCAGGAAGACGTACACCTGGATGGAACTTGGAAGCGAATTGGACAAAGGGATGATTTCATAGAGGCAAGGGCAGGAAGGGGAACTGCCAGGACTGCGGGGGCGACCGGGACTGGCTGCGGTGGGCAGTCTCCGCCACCACTTAGGCCTCTCGGGAGCTGGAGTCATGAAGGAGGGACTCCCCGGGGTTGGGGGCTGAGGTCCTGGAGGGGTGCAGCCATTACTGGCGCGTGGAGGGATGGGTCTAGCTCTCCATCTCCCGCCAGCGCCAGACCCAACTGGAACTCAGAGACCAACGGAGCCCAGGTTGGTGGCCCACAGCATCAGCTGCTTGGGATGCAGAGCAAGCACAGGAAGGAGGGGGGGGGGGGGGGGGGGGGGGTGGCAAAGAGAGAGAAGTTTCCCGATTCACGTCGGTGGGTTTGGTATCCCTGGTGAAGAGAAATGCGACGCAGCAGATTCCCTCTGGATAGGACCACCCAGGAGAGGAGGTGAAAGTGGATGAGAAATTTCGTGGTGGTTTCTTTTTCTCGTAACAAGCGATGAAATCGCCCAGACCTGGACTCTGCAGGGAACGTGTGAAGCAGAGGGAGGAGACTGGGCGCTTGAAGCTGGTCTCCAGAGGGGGCAGCCTGGCTTTGAAGCAGTTGTGCTATGTTGGGGGTGATTTCTGGCCTGTTCCTGCCAAAAATGTGCTCCGTTTTGCAAGGAACTCAGGCAAAGGTTGATTTAAGAGGCCTGGGCTCTCTGAGAACTCGTCTTGGCTGAAGAGGAGCTAACTTAGGTCGCAAGGCCACACTCAAAGGTACACCTTTCCTCCGATCTTCTCTCCTGACATTCAGAGCCTCGTCTTTTGCCCTTTCCATTCAAAAGTCTCAAAGGCACCTCGAAGTCCATTTACTTAAAACCAACCTCATGGTGTCTCTCTCAAAACCAACCCTTCTACACTGCCTCTTTTGGTGAATAACTTCACTGACTCTCCAGCAATGTGGCGTCCTTCTTAACACCTTCTCTCCCATCTCCTCAAACGCCGAGTCCTGTTGACTTTACATCTCTCTCCAGTCTGATCCTATCTCCTGACTCTAAGCTACCATCACCTCCCCCTTGAACTCTGGCAACCACCTGCTAATTTGCTTGCAAATACTCCCCTCTAGTCTCTTCTCCAATTCGTTTTCCACAGGGCAGCGACGGCCATCTTTTCAAAGGACATATGGCCACGTGTCTCTCCTCTGCTTAAAATCATCCCATGCCTGCTTGTTGCCCTGAGCAGACTCCTTCACAAGGTTTGTAGGCCCTAAGTGACCTCACTCCACCCCACAGTTCAGCCCAGCCCTTCTCATTTTTCCCCTTGCCAGGCACATTGGCCTTCTTTTAGTTTCTAGTCCTGGGCTTCTCTTTCGGGACCTGTGAAGGCCAATCCTTTGCCTAGAATTTTCCCTCCCCTCTTCCCACCAGATGAACTTAACCAACTTTTAGATCTCAGCTCAAATGTTACTTCCTCGGGGAGTCTTCCTTGAATTCTAGACTAGAAAAGGCCCCTCGGTGAAATGCTGTTCTAACAGCCTATCCTTTTCTTAGTTATTGTGTTTGTCGTTACATGTCTGTGCGATTATTTGATGAACGTCGGTCTCCCTCCTGCCCTGTGATGTTCATGGTATCTGAGTCCATTTCTGACTTCCTCCCCGTAGGATCCTTAGTGCTTTGTGTAGAGTCAGGCATGTGGAGGTACTCACTGAATCCTTTTCGGAAGAAAGGAAGCTTCTAAAGAGACTTTGTAACCTGGAAGGGCCCAGAGGGAAAGTGACTGAGGGTAGGTAGGTTATGACATTTGGAATGACTCGGGAAATATATAAACAATTTGGTGGGTAGGCCATGACAGTGGTGACCCCCGGGGAGGAAAGTACGGACATGTCCTGCTCTGGTGGTGGGTGTGGGGGAGGCATCCGAGATGGAGCACATGTCAGGGACAGAACACATCTTCTGTGCCTCTGTAGGCCTGCACCCATGTGGGAGAAAGCACCCTAAACTGTGTCAGGGGCCTGCTTTTGAGGCCTGGATTTGATGCGAACTAGTTGTGTGTTTTTCCCTCTCATTCTCTCTCTTTTTTTTTTTTTAAACACTTGTTTTTTCAATGTTTGTTTTTGAGAGAGCGTGCGTGCGCGCGCGAGCGAGTGGGGGAAGGGCAGAGAGAGAGACACACACAGAATCCGAAGCAGGCTCCAGGCTCTGAGCTGTCAGCACAGAGCCCAACATGGGGCTCAAACTCGCGAACTGCGGGATCATGGCCTGGGCCGAAGTCGGACCCTCAGGCCACCCAGGCACTCCTGTCTTCTCTTTCTTAATTGTATCTGTAAAAAACAGGGTTGGGTTGTTCAGGCACTCAGGGTTCTTAGTTGTAAAGAACAAATATTGCCTCTGGGCAATTTAAACAGAAAAGGAACTGATTGAAAGGACATTGGCCCGCTCACAGGATTACCAGGAAACCTGAAGAACCAGACCCTGAGAACTGGCAAGAACAAGGAAGATTATACAGGCCAAACCAGGACCAGAATCTCAGTGAGGGACCAGGCTCCATAAAGCCACTGCAGCCCATGTGCCACTAAGTGCTTAGGATCATGCCACTCCTGTCAGCAGTGGGCACTGGACCATTGGCACCATTGGCCACACTGCCCTTGGGAACTAGATGTCGCTGCCTTTGCCGTTACCCTTGGAAAGAATTCTTCGCCCTCCCTCCTTCTTTGAGTCATTACCTTTTGACTCCAAAGCCTGAGCAGGTGAATCTGACACCCTGAGTTTGGTCATATGTTAGAGCCCCAGCTCCAGTAGCTCTGGGGCCACTAGAAGACAGCTTCCTAGAGAGGGAGGCAAGTTCTGTTGATCACCAACCCTCCTCAGACGGGGGTTCCCCACTGTAGGAATCAGAGGGTTCAGACTGGGGGCAGGCAATCCGCATCAAATATCCAGTCTTAGGTAGTCTCTAAGGTCCCTTTCATGCTAACAATCCCAGCAAAATGAGAAAGGATACAGCCATCACCCCGCCCCCCGCCCCTTCCCATTAACCTGAGCAGCCTGTGAAAGCTACGGAAAACTTTGCCAAATCATTGCTTTGCCACAGAAAACTTTGTTCTGCTTTATTAAAAGCCCTTAGTTCTAGATACTTTGGAGACATACTCTGAGTGTCCTTGCATTATGTGTTTATTTGAGCCACTGAAGCCAGCCTGTTCTTCTTGGCCTCCCAGCCCTAAAAATAGGGCATTATTAAATAGCCTAATAACCTGGTCAGTGCTCTCAGAGTGCGGCAGGACTGTGTTGCTTCATATTTTTAGCGGGCAGATGCTCTTTCTATTGGAGTATCTATTTTTAAACTCCCCAAATGTCAATCCCCTTTCAACTGTCAATCCCATTCTCAAAGACCTGCCGGTTTGTTCCCCTTTTGTTTTTATGACAGAATTTACCGTGCAATGCAAAAGACACACTGGTAACGTTTTTGGGGGGTGGATAGAAGTAACATTTTTTTTTTTTTTTCTTGCCCATACTTCCTTCTTTTTCTGTAGCTGAGACCTAGGAGAATCAATGAAGAAGGAATTCTGGAAGTAAAGGGTCCAGGATCTTGGAGTGATTTATGAACCTTCTTTTAATGCCATTTCCACCCTATCTGCTTCCTTAGGCAAGTCGCTTGCATTTAAAACAGCCAGGCTGTGGGAGCAGAGAAAGCGTTATAAAATCATTCAGTGTGAATAGCTGATTCCGGCTTAATTTGTTACTACTCCAAGGTAACATAGAGGTGTGAATATAAAGTAATGTGACTGAGGCTTTAAAAACCTCCAGTGATCTTACACTTCCAAATGACTGCAGAACTCCTCAAAGAACCTCCTTTGGGAGAGAGGCACTGTCTGACGTCATCGTTTCGCTCAAAGCAATTTTTGGAGTACTCTTTTCTGAACTGCCTTCCCAGGTGCGGCTCAGGCTCTGGGATGTCCTCGGTGACGGCAGCCCAGGGTGCTCGGGGAGTGTGGGGGGCCACCACAGGAAAAGATGCTGTCCTGTCCTGGTGGCTGCAGGGGGTTGTTGGGTGGGGAGGCATGATTGTGGTCATGTGGAGCGGGTGTGAGCTCTGGGGTAAGAGGATGGGGGTTCCAATCCACTCTCTACCCCTCAGGAGCTTCGTCAAGCTGCTTAACATCTTAGAATTTCAACCGCTTGGAGTGGAAAATGAGAGAAATCCCACCTTCCTTGCGGGGTGGTTGTGAATAAACGTGTTCGCATGTGTGGGGCTCCAGCACCTGGTAAAAATCCAAAGAGCGTTAATAGCCTTTTCTACGCCACGGTTTTTCTGACACGCTTGGTCCCAGCCAAATGGGGCTGCTTTGCTCTTCCGCGTTCAAGGCCTCTGGGTCTCTATCGATGTTCTTTCCCGTCCTGTCCTCCACCTCTAGGCCTCCTTCCCCCATACGCGCTCCGTAGGTCCAAATCCCATGTCTCCTTTAACGTCTGCTTTGAATAAAAGGAATACTGGTGAACAGAGAGGTTGAGCACTTTGCCCGAAGTCTCACAACTTTTTTTTATTATTAAAAAAAATTTTTTTTTTAATCTTTATTTATTTTTGAGAGACAGAGACAGAGAGAGAGAGAGAGAGAGAGATTGAGAGCAGGAGTGGGGGAGGAGCAGAGAGACAGGGAGACACAGCATCTGAAGCAGGCTCCGGGCTCCGAGCTGTCAGCACAGAGCCTGACGCGGGGCTCGAACTCATGAGCCGTGCGATCATGACCTGAGCTGAAGTCCGACTGCTTAACTGACTGAAGCACCCAGGCCCCCCCCCCCCCCCCCCCGTTTTTTCTTAAAAAAAAAACAACAACAACAAAAAAACTTTCCTAATGAAACATTCCCTTTCCACGTGACATTGTGATCATCTGGCAACTAGTCTCATTGCCTGCGACACTGAGTGCTCAGCGAGGGTTATTCTGTTTCCATAGTGTTCTTCTTAGCGTTTTGCATGATCTTTGTAGGTCCTCAAGAATATCCGTTCAGTGAGTTGTTTAAAAACGCAACTCTGGTCATGTGTCTCCCTTGCTTAAAACGTTCCATTTACTTCAGGGTCAAAACCAGATTCCCCAGCAGAGCCAGAGGGTGCCAAGTGATGAGTCTCCATGCCATCGCCTTGGCCGGCACAACCCTCCCCCCTAGCTCACTGCTCCCAGCTGCATACGGCTTTCAGCCCACTCTTCTATCCACCTGACTCCCTCAGGGCTTTCCCTTCCTTTCTTGCTCCCCGGAAGACCGCGCCCTCTTCCCCCACCTTGACCTGGTCTCTGGTCACGTCTGCTCTCATGACCTATGCTTGTTATGTCGCCACTGGGTACCCGGAGGAAGCATCCCCTGCTCGGGGATAGATGTGTCACGTCCTGGCCAGGTCTGCCCCTCCCCGTGAGAGGGGACCCCCCCCTGGTGGCCCTGGCTCTGCCCTCACTCTCTTGCTGGGAAAGTCGGGCTGGGTGACACTTGGGGATTGGGGTCTGACCTCTGCAGGGGCCTCTGGGGGCACCGAGGCCTGCTTGTCCAGTCCAGCTTGGCCTGTCACAGAGGAGGCACGGTCTGCCTTCATGCCACAGATTGATCCTGGCGGTGGCGTTTTCGGAAGGGACTTGTACCCTTCATCTCCCCTTGGTTCATACGTTCTGACTGCCAGCAGGCCTGGCACAAAGCCATCTTGGCAAAGAGGAATTTTTATAGCCTGATTGGTTCAATTTTGTTTTCTTCCCAAATTCCTATCCCCAGGCAGAAATAATCTCCAAACAGCTTTTGTACCGTGGGGGATAGGATGAGGGAGCCATGCAGGGAAGGAAAGAGGACGGGGCAAGGACATCTAGACTGGAAGTAGGTTAGTCTCTCGTTTAGTAATAATGTGTTAATTTTATAATACTAGGAAATATTTACTAAGAACTAATAAGTTCCCGAGTACCGTACTAAGAATTTGCACATGTGTTAGCTCATTTAGTTTTCCTAATTCTAACCCTTTGAGTTAGATTCTATTATTATTCTCACCCTATGGATTAGAAAGTTAAGGAGGTCAAGGTCAATAAGTAGCAGAGGTGGGCTTATAACTGAAGGTAGGCGAGCCCTTCCTGAAATGTTGGCCTTGGGGTTAAGAATCTCAAATTAAGTCATGGTTTCCGGTGCAGGCACCCAGCAAAGAATGATCATCAAAAGAGCAGATTCTGGAGAGATCCACGCATACCCAGGACATCCCCCAGGTGTCTGTCCACTGGCCGTGATTGCTTTTGAGATGCTGATTCCAGTTCACTGGGAAGCAGTCCGATGTCAAAGAGAGAACGTGAGCTTTGGAGTCCCACAGACCTGGGTTTGAAAGTGAACTCAGCCTCTTCTGTCCGTACAGCCCAGGGCACAACATCATTGTGACTCAGTGTTCTCATCTTTAAAATGGTCATTGTGGGGGCGCCTGGGTGGTGCAGTCGGTTAAGCGTCCGACTTCAGCCAGGTCACGATCTCGCGGTCCGTGAGTTCGAGCCCCGCGTCGGGCTCTGGGCTGATGGCTCAGAGCCTGGAGCCTGTTTCCGATTCTGTGTCTCCCTCTCTCTCTGCCCCTCCCCCGTTCATGCTCTGTCTCTCTCTGTCCCAAAAATAAATAAACGTTGAAAAAAAAATTAAAATGGTCATTGTGATTCATAACTTGCATGCCTGTGAGGATGAAGTCCGAAAAAACAATCAAGCTTCTTGCACTGGACCTGGCATGTAGAGAGTGAGTAATAAATGGTAGCTATTAATATGACACTAATGTGAAGCCCTAAGTATTTTTATTATCATGGTCCTCCTCTTCCTCCTCCTCCTCCTCCCATAGTTTGTGACGAGCTGATAAATTCCACCATTAATATTTGCACCAAGGTGTGCTGTCTGTGGAATACCTGACTAAAAAGAAAATACCGTAAAGGGAAAACCCGTTGAGCTGAGATCAAGCTAAACGATTTAAGTCTTAATTAGTAATTAAGCTCTTTACTGTGCAAGCTGGAAAGTAAGAGAGTAACTTGGGAAAAAAAGGAAAAATAAAAAGCCTTAAGTTAGTAATGCCAACAAATGCCTGCCTCCATTTAGTTAGGGTCTATTACGAGTTTGATGCCTTTTATTTTATTGTTAATCCTTGATGATAATACCAGTCCCCTGTGGGGATGGTATTATTACCATTTGACTTATGAGGCTTAGGATGAGATTAAGCAACGTGTATGAAGCCGCCTGAGAGTCAGCGGTGGGTAGACTCTCTTTGGGGAAAGTGTCTTTTATTTATTATAAAAAAATTTTTTTTAATGTTTATTTATTTTTGAGAGGGGAGGAGGGGCAAAGAGAGAGGGAGACACAGAATCCGAAGCAGGCTCCAGGCTCTGAGCTGTCAGCACAGCACGAACCGGGAGATCATGACCTGAGCCAAAGTTGGATGCTTCACCGACGGAGCCACTCAGGCGCCCCGGGAAAATATCTTAAGTAAATAATTTAAAAAGAAAAGAAGGTCAATTGTTAAAACAAAACAAAACTCCCCAGACATTTCTAGCCCATATTCATCACACGGACCCCACGTTGGCAGGTGGAGAGGCGAACTGGTGCACATGAACCATTTAATGTAGCAGACTTCAAAAGACAAATGCATGATCATGTCAGCAGGGAAGGCGTAAAACTTATATCGGGTAAAAAGGATGGAATGCAAAATGGTGCCACGAAGGGTATATACACGCTTCTCCGAGTTAGAGAAAATCGACATCTGTATACCCACATGGACCGGGAGTATTTAGCTTCATGTGAATGCTTGGTGTAAGAAGCTTCTTTGTGGTATTTTCAGACAGAGCAGTTTATTTTTTTAAGTTTGTTTATTTTGAGAGAGAGAGAGAGCAGAGAGAGAAGGAGAGAGAGAGAATCCCAAGCAGGCTCTGCACCATCAGCACAGAGCCCGACAGGGGGCTTGAACTCATGAACCGTGAGATCATGACTTGAGCTGAAATCAAGAGTCGGATGCTAAACTGACTGAGCCACCCAGGCGCCCCTTGGGCAGAGCAGTTTAAATGTATTCAATGATGGAGAGGGAAAGGATACATAGAGAACCAAGTGTTTTAAAAAATGAGGTAGCTTTTTTAACTATCTAGATTTAAGTGGTGAAACTAAACACAAACAGAAAGTGATTAGTATCTTGAGAGGGATTTATTTATGACAATGTTTCCTCATCTGGAATTTGAAGATTCTTCGAGATGTGTCAAGGTAACGAGAGAGGGGCTCCAGATTTTTGCTGTATTTGACAAAACATAATGGAAATCTCATAGTTTGGTTTCATCATCTTGGCGATAGCTAAGGGCACTAGAGTCTGAGTTCTGTTATCAGATCACTGGAGTTTGGATCTCAGCTTTGTTATCTGCTTGCTAAGGGCTGCTGGCACGTTAATCTGTTTCCTTGTCTGTAAAACAGGGTCAATAATAGTGCCTACCTCGATGAGTGACTGCGTGGCACAGGGTGAGTTTTCTGTAAACCGTTCTTTTTCTTTTTTTTTTTTAAGGTTTTTATTTTTAAGCAATCTCTATACCCAACATGGGGCTTGAACCCACAACCCTGAGATCAAGAGCCCCACACTCCACTCATGGAGCCAGCCAGGCGCCCCTTAGTAAACGATTCTTAAACTATAAAGCTTCTTTCCTTTGATCTGGAATTATATCAATTCAGCCCTAATTTTGTTGCCTCAAGCAAATCAGAAGACTCATTTGCCAATTGTTCCAAGAACCTTGGAGCGTCTGTCTCAGTAGGTCCTTACAGCAACCCTACGCAGCAAAAATCCTTTTGCATTTGAGGAAATGGAGGCAGAGAGACGATGAGAAACTGGTTCAAGGTCAAAGGCTAAACAACCAGTAAGTGGAGGGGCCAGGGCAAATATCTCCAGCCAAAGACATTCTTTGAGACCTATCTCACAGTGGCAAAACATCAGAAACACCCTAAACTGGAGGCAGACAGGTAGGTAAATTAGGATACACCCCTAAAACGGAATGAGTATGCTCAGGTTGTCCCTTGCCCCCATCCTCTGCAGAGACTCTGGCCACTGTGAGGTCAGAGGGACACCAACGTGACAGCAAAGATGAGGGGGTGTGGTGAAGACACTGGATTGGAAGGCACTGTGACGGGTCAGGGAATAGAAGAGAGAAAACGGGAAAACGTTTAAAGACCTATTCTTATCGTATGCATCTCCTTCCTGGGTGTTGGAAAACACAAGGGGCTGGCGTTCTCCAGCAAGCGCTTCCTGGTGGCTGAGCTCAGCTTCTTTGGCAGTGGAGGCTCTTTGCAGCAGGGCCAGGGGAATGGTTTTACCTGTACTGACACGGCATTGTCGCAACGTCAAGGGCTGACGCTGCCGGGCAGAGGGCCTCGACACCACCTGCACAGGAAGGGCCGGGTTGAATAGGCAGGTACGGAGAAATTCCCAGGTGCCAGTGCCGGAACCCCATTCGAGCAGGGATATGCCACAGCCCTGGGCTTTCTGGAGCTTCTGGCTTACTGCAAGATGCAGACACAGACCCGCACGTTTTTGCCATAGGGCAGTCAGTGGCCTGGTGGTGGTCTACGTGGCAGGGTGCACAGGCAGAGAGGAGCTCTGCTTCGCTTGGCAGCGAATAAGGCTTCCTAGAGGAAATAGCAGCTGAACCAAGTCTCGGGAAAAGAGAGAAGCGGGAAGATGTTCCAGGAGGAGGGGCTTGTATGGGCAAAGATAGTAAGGCAAGAAAGAGCCTTATGCGCTCAGGGGAAATAGAAGCACCTCACTGTCACCAGAGAAGCGAGTCAGAGGTGGGGAGTGGATGCCGCTGGGGCTGAGGAGGAGACTGGGACCGGGTCCGGGCCACCGTGGCCTCTGCAGGCATCTGGGCCACTGGCTCTTGACTGCAGGGTTTAAAGCAAGGGGCATTTTGTTGGTTGGCTTGCATTTAGGGTGGGAGAGACTTGAGCAAGTCTGCGGGCTTATTGGTGGAGGTGAGACGGCAAGGTTGGATACCGGAGAGAGGAGAGTCTGCGTTAAGGGGCAGGGCCCTTAGGGAGCAGGAGGCATTGTGGTAGCAGTGGAAGGGGCAGAGGGAAGATGGGGATCGGGGTGCAGAGGTCAATTCTCCTGCAGCAGGACAGAAGGCTCAGGGGCACATGCAAGGTCATGTCTCTTCTCGAAGAAGCTGTTCAGAGTGTATGTGTTTTAAGGGGTGGGCAATAACAGAGCGAGACGGAGAGCAAACCACCCCCGTAGCTAAGGCTGTCAGAGGCGAGGGTCAGCTGATAGGGAAGCCAGGAACCCGTCTGCCAGTGCCATTTTCTCCAGCAGCACCTGGGGAGCTGGGAGCAGGAGCTGGGAAGAGCAACCGAGAAAGACGAGGCAGGAGCGCAAGGTTGATGAGGAGGTGGAGGAGGGCTGCTTTCAGGCAAACCAACCACGGGCTGAGCTTGAGCAGCAAGGAAGGGACAGGAGATAAAAAAGGGGCATCGAAGGCGAAGAAGTTATAGCTAGGCCCGTAGTTTCGCCCTGTGCTGGCATGGCCTGCTGTTTGTTGGCTGTGCAACCTTGCTGCTTGGCCTTGAATGAGTAATTTCACCTTTCTGGGCCTTGGCTTCCCTATCCGTAAGATTATATACTCAGTATGGTGTTCTCTAGCTCCAACCATGTATGGTTGTGCAAACCAGCATGTTCCAATCTCTTGGGCCTCAGGGTGAGTCTTTTTCTATACCTTCTCCTGGAGCCGCCGAGCCAGTGTGAATCATTTTCTGCCCAGAAGGAGCCAACCCTGGAGTTGGGAACGTGATGTGAGATCTCAGTTCATCAGGGCCTGGGCCAAGCTCTAGCTGCCATTGGCCAAAAGTTCATACTCAGGTTAGTTTGCCTCAGGGGTCTCAGTAAACATTAACTACATACCAGCTGACCTCGGACAAGCCACTGAACAATTCACCGCTTGGTTTACTCAACCATAAAGGAGTAGTTGTACGCTCAGGGTGGCCACGAAGAAGCGTGTCTCAGCATGGCTGGGGAACAAAGCCATAACCTCCGTTATTGGTTGAGGTCTGCGGACAGGTGGAAAGCAAGAAGGAGGAAGGAGTGGTATAGCCTCTCTGGTGAGGGCTCTCCTGTTGCTTCAGGGCAATTCTGTGCAGAAGACGGCAGCAGAATTTTGTCAGCAATATTCACACCGGGTAGGGAAGGGGGCACCAGTGGGACCCACTATAATCCACTCTTTCCCTAGAAATAATAAGCAGAAGCTGTATCTTCAGATCTGTGCAGGATGGAAAATGATGCATAGGTAGTTTAAAAAAAGAACAATGGTAGCCTTACCATTTGTGCAGAATTAAAAGTCGTAAAGGTCACATACATCTCATAAACATTACTCACCATTCCAGCGACAAAGCACTAGAACCGCTCTCAGCCTT